TTTTCATTGGGTTTAACCCTGGACAGAATGCCTATAAGGTCTATGACACATCCAACAAACAGGTTCATGTCTCTAGAGATGTCATTTTTTATTAGAAAATTTTTCCTTTCAAACTTGAAAAACAGCCTGCCACTCCAACACCTTTACCTATAGGACTACCACTTGAAGAATCTTCTACCACTTCAAATATGTCTCCCTCGAGTTCTCCTGACACAGTTCAAAATCATTTAGATTCTTCCCAAAATTACATACCCGATTTCACTCCTACTGCACAAGAATCAAACTCATCCAATTTTGATACTGATGTTGTACCTATTATACCTGTACCTTTTGCTGAGAATAATATTACTGAAAATAGTGATCTGGAAGAACCTAGACATAGTAGTAGGATTAGAACTAGACTTGCCTAGTTGGATGACTATATCACTAATGTGACTGAAAGTTCGGTGGAACCAATTGCTAGTGTTCAAGATACCTTGATGGCCACTAAATTCAGCTCACAGCACACTCCTACTACATTTCCATACTCTGTTTCTTCTAATTTGCATCATGCATATATTTCCTTTTTGGCTAATGTATCAAGTATTCAAGAACCTCATACTTATCATCAAGCTAGTAAAGATCATATTTGGGTACAAGCGATGAATAATGAATTGAGGGCCTTAGAGGAGAATCGCACATGGGAACTGACTTACTTGCCTACTGGGAAGAAGGCCATAGGGTCTAAGTGGGTGTATAAGCTTGAACTTAAGCCTGATGGAACAGTGGATAGATTCAAGGCACGGCTGGTAGCAAAAGGGTATAATCAAATGGAGGGAGTTGATTTTTTTGAATGCTTATCCCTTGTGGTAAAATTAGTGACGGTGCGAATTTTTCTTGCGGTTGCATCGGTAAAGGCTTGGCCTATTCACCAGCTAGACATAAATAATGCCTTTTTACACGGGTATTTTAATGAAGAGATATATATGGAACCACCAGTAGGATATAGACAGGCTTTAGCAGGTCGGGTATGCAGGTTAAAACGAAGCCTGTAGGGTTTGAAACGGGCCTCACGACAATGGAATATAGAGCTTTGTCATAAACTTACTGGTTTTGGATTTGTTCAGTCGCAGCATGATTATTGTTTTTTTGTGAAACAATCTCCTGATCCCAGCATTTTTCCTCTCATTTATGTGAACGACATTTTGATCACGGGTACACATGAATCAGATATAGCATC